CTCCCCTCCTCGGTGTTTCCCGAGCGCTATGACATGTCCTTCTTCAAACGAGGCTTGTGGAGAGTATTAAGCGGTAGGCAGCGGCTTGGCTCTGCCCCTGGCATTGCTGAAGTCCATGGGCGACGGTAACCACTCACCATCAGGTGGGCCGTATGCCCGTCTGCCTACAAAGGCAATAAAAAAAAAAAAAAAAAAAAACCTAACCTAAACCTAACCTAAACCTCACCTAAACCTCACCTAAACCTCACCTAAACCTCACCTAAACCTCACCTAAACCTCACCTAAACCTCACCTAAACCTCACCTAAACCTCACCTAAACCTCACCTAAACCTCACCTAAACCTCACCTAAGCGTGTTATATAATAGGTTGAAAAAAAAAAAAAGAAAAAAAACACATTTTCCTAATTTGAATTTGGATTTATCTTCTTTAAAATTTCAACTTTTAATGATACCAAAACCAGCCAGATACAAATAGTATAGCCCAAGAGATTTTATAACATGTTCATACATACTATAATGCGAAAAGACTTTTTCCCCAACCTATTACATGTGTCAAGAATGCAGCACCTTCGAAAAACCCTTTAATGAGCCAGTTGCCAACTGTTAAAACAACGCCGACTCGTGCGTTCAATCATAGTGGAGTTGGCTACGCTGAACCCATTTAGTGAAGAACCACCCTTAAGGGCTACATTGCATTATTTGTTGCAAAAGATACACAATTAGAAGTCGTTAGCGATTTAACGAGCGTTATATGGAGCGACAACAGCATGAATTTCGTCGGCAGTTCAGCAGAGTTAAAGACATGCAGAAAGGCCTTATCCGACCGCGACGAGGCAACGCCAAGCTGCCGGCGCTCGAAACATGTCTTGTGCTTTAGTCGGACTTTAATATTTTTGTCCTTTTTCATATTTTTTTGTTCAGTCCTTCTTTTTGATAGATTCGTGTATATTATACATTTAAACTAGAGAAAATAAAAAAAATAATAATAAATAAAAACATCTTTTGATAAGTAATAATTTATTTCTGTAAGTTAACTTATCATAGAACATACGGGCTGAAGCAGAACGCACTACCATTGCTTACTAACTAACGCTGGACAGCGACGCATCAAGTGAATTAAAATAAGATATAATTATACATATAATTTCGTGCATTAAATAGTAATAGTAAACTGTTTTTATCATTTGTACTATTAATCAATGCAAGAGTTAATTGCGTTTGTTAATCATCGGTCTAAGAGTGGTGTACGCCGAATACACAGACTTGAATATGGTCATGAGCGAGGTGAAGTCGAGCGCGGCCACCCCTCCCGCCGTCAAGCCCATCGTCTTCTGGGAGTTCTGCAGAATCAGCAGCACCGTCTTCATATTAGATTTGTCGAAGTATTCCCATTTGCAGTTGTACACGGCCGTCTCGAACGCGACGTTGGCGTCCCGCAGTCGCTGTCCAACGAAGCAGTCCACTGATATTTGAATGACGCAGAAAGGCAACTGCAAGAATGTGTTCTCGAGCCCCCCGAGCAGCGCCGCGATGAGACCGAACGCGACGCACGCGAAGCCGCCTGCAAGCGCGCCGCGGAACACGACCTCGACCTCACGGATGAGACGGATTTGCTTCGTGTGGATCGCGACGATCTTTCCAAGACGTGCCCTGATAAAGTCGTCTGGCTGTTGACATTCGGAGGCGCACGCGTCGTCCCACACGCAGCTGATTTCGTCGCTGAGCGCCAGCATGGTCGCCTCGGAGTAGCCTACGATGACGATGAGGAAGGCGCTGATGCTCCCCGCCGTGTAACAGATGAACACCACCGACACGCCCATCAGGGTTGACGCTATTTCGAAGTTTGGCGATTCAAACATCGGCTCGAATCCTAAATACAGTTACAGGATTATTCGTCATCAGGAAAGAACAGCACATAAATGTGCTGCATCCTGATTATTATGTTTGTGTATATTATATTATGATTATATTTATTTTTGGTGACCCATCAAACTAAACTAATAAGCTATCTTTGATTTCCTACATTCTGGTCTATTCTTAGGTAATTGTCAAGCAAAGCAAAAAAAAAATATATCATATTTATTTATTTTTCTATTATATCGGCCTACGACGAGACGTCCACAAATCTCGCCTAGACAAAGCCCGAAATACAAAGTGGGAAAATTATTTAGATGGGCTCGCGCCTTCTCACTATGCATACTGGCGACTGGTTAGGACCCTCAAATGCGAGTATGTCTCTCCTCGTACGACTCTCAGACCAACCTCCAGCTTTCGATGAAAAGGCACAATTACTGGTCGATGCATTGCTAGAGCAGTGCATCAACAATGGTGAAACCGCGGACCCCGAACACTCCGAGATAATCGACCGGTCGGTCGGCTATCTATCGATTTGCATCTTTCCCGCGGTGTGGAAGGAAGTTGTTATCATCGGCATGCATAAACCTGGCCAACCTAAAAATGAACCCGCAAGCTACCGCCCGATTAGCCTCCTCCCAGCGTTAGGAAAATTATACGAACGACTTTTACGCAAACACCTCTGGGACTTAATCACCTCGAAAGGTATCCTGATCGACGAACAGTTCGTATTCCGCGCGAAACACTCGTACATTCAGCAAGTGCACAGCCTTACGGAGCACATCTTAGTAGGGCTAATCAGACGCAAACCCTTACCCACGGGAGCCCCCTATTTCGATATCGTGAAGGCATTCGACAAAGTCTGGCACTTATTTGTAACTATATAACATGGGCGTGCCAGACAGTCTCGTGCTCATTATACGAGACTTGTTGTCGTACCGTTCCTTTCAGTGTCGAGTTGAGGGACAAATCTTGGCCGGNTTACGGAGCACATCTTAGTAGGGCTAATCAGACGCAAACCCTTACCCACGGGAGCCCCCTATTTCGATATCGTGAAGGCATTCGACAAAGTCTGGCACTTATTTGTAACTATATAACATGGGCGTGCCAGACAGTCTCGTGCTCATTATACGAGACTTGTTGTCGTACCGTTCCTTTCAGTGTCGAGTTGAGGGACAAATCTTGGCCGGAGTCCCGGAGCGACTCCGCTCTATCCCCGGTACTCTTTAGCCTATATATCAACGATATACACCGATCGCCGGCGACCCAGTTAGCCCTCTTCGCCGATGATACGGCTATCTATTACTCGGATAGGAAGATGTCGTTCTTGCATAGTAAACTCCAGACTGCGGTCACTAATTTAGGACAGTGGCTCCGGAAGTGGCGCATCGACATCAACCCTACAGCCGTGCCCTTCAAAAGTGGTCGCCCTCCCGATATCACTGCTAGTTTCTCTGCTAGTTTTCTGTGAAGCACTGCTTTGGTTCTCTAGCTTTTAATAGTGTTAGCAAATTTACTCAGGTTGAGCCCGTGAGCTTACTTATCCGTCCGGTAGTAGCTGGAATAGCCACTTAGGCCACCAGCGAATGGGTAAGGGAAAAAAACTGTATTTATATATTGAATGATATACAAACCGTAAATAACAAAGACGTCTTCAGAGAGATGTCTTCCGGGTAAGAAAGCGGGCATCAAGTCATAGGCGAACGCGTTGACTACCAACACCAGCCAGTAGACGAAGGCCCGTCTCCTGACGGTGCGCAGGGAGCGGCCCACGCGCGCGCGCAGCCGGCCCGGCGCCATGTCCGCCTCGCACTGCAGGTACTCGCCCGTTATGTCACGCAGCTTCGCTCTGTGCGAGGTAAGAATGTGACTCGCGACACTCCTAAACATAATTAACTAAAGACAGAGATCCGCGAGCCGTTTACCTGTAGACGTACATGATGAAGAGTTTGATTGCACCGATCTCGCTAGACACTCCGAGGGAGAAGACGATGGAGGCAGCAGCCAGGTCGCCGGTCTGCGGACATCGCACGAACACGAACCATGTGATGGAGCACAAGTAGATGTAATAGTAGACCGTCAGTAGCACCGCCAATATCGCATACGTTATTTTAGGGATCGCTGGAAAATAAATCAGCAGTTCCGACAGGGTGTTCCCGTGTTTGGAAATTCCAATTGGATGCAGACTACATGGAAGTTTAAGGTGTCGGGAGCATCCAAGTTCCATCCGTGCACACAGAACTGGTACTCGTTAGAGGCAGGGGGCGGGGTTCGGGGGGCGGAGGGCGCCTTCATTGAATATCGCTCCATCACAAAACTTGGTTCCGTTCCGTGGGCAGTTCCTACCAATTGACGAAAAAAAAGGTTTCATTCGTGGCTTTTGTTTTCTTAATTAGATTATTTTTTATCGTTCCAAATTAAACTAATACGAGTAATCAGCGCAATGCAAAGGACAAACCCGAAATCCATACAAACTTGGGCCTGGCGTTACAGTCCTAGAATTTGGGCATAAGTTACAATACCTAAGAAGGTTTCATGAGCCCAATTTTCAGGTCTCCCAGCAATGGCCAAATTGGTAAAATCAGACAATGTTTACATTTTAGGTTATGTTTATTGTTCGAGATATTTTAATAAAAAAGATATTTTTGAGGCTGTTTCCTACTAAAGATGAGTAATTTTTTACGAAACGTGTTGCAGCAACAGGTTGCTTTAAAATAAAAATGGAACCTGTTACGAGAAATTGCGCGTTAGGTTGTTTACGAAAACGAACGAAAGCCAAAAATTAAAAACAACGTAATGCGAATCGCGCTGCGCACGAAATGATTTTTTTCAGGGATTTTATGACCTGGTAACTAAGACCTTTAGGTCAGTCTTATTTTAATTTTAATGAAAACTTTTTTATATGAAAAACTATATTTATATGTTATCTGTTTTATATAAAATATAAATCATTACGTGCTCCCATATTATCTCATCACATTTCATTTCATTTTATTTCATGCCTTTTTTATTTTTATTTTTTATTGCTCAGACACCCATCGACGAGCTCACAGCCCACCTGATGTTAAGTGGTTACTGGAGCTCATAGACATCTACGACGTAAATGCGCCACCCACCTTGAGATATAAGNTGGGCCGAGCGCCGGGCAAGCACTCGTCTGATGAACGGTTTTATTGCTCTTTGTTTGGCATGCTTCATCTAATGTAATGTAATATTTAAAATATCGAGTTCTCGTTGTATGGAGAATCCGCGGTCTAAAGGTCCAAATAATACTTCATTTGTCTTTTCCCTGCACCCCACAATCATTTAAGCGTAATTACGAGGATAATAATCGTTGATAATGATAAAGTTACTTTATAATCATAAAAATAATAATAGGAGTCATTCCTTACCATCTTCACCATAGCCTTAAATTAGTCAATCTCAAGCATAATCTCTATAGAACCCTCCAAAAAGCCGCTATTTTAAACACCTGCTGAATTGTGAGGAAGTTTATGCAGGTTGACGATAACACACCATCACCCAACACACAAACATTATCATCAAGCAGTTAGCACTTGGCTTGCGCCCGTGCTAACATGCAATTACCGGCTCTGCCGAGAAAAGAAGTCGATAATAATAATACCTAATAATAACACTCTTATTAATTACTTACATTTTCAATTTCGAGTCTACGTAAGGACAGTCAATTAGTATAATAAAATACAATTAGATCATTCATACAGGATAGCATTGCAGCACTGGTCGTGGGTTACCGTGGTGCCAGGTGCGAGTGTGTACTAACGTCTGTCGGAGGCGGGGTCGACGTCCAGCGCCAGCGGACGCAGCACGGCGGCCACCCCGGACACCATCCCTCGGAGGTCGCAGGGTCGCGCCCGCGCTTCTTCCCTCCACAATCCCATCGGGCACGGTCCGACCTGATCTGGACCCGGTTTTTTTTATTGCTTAGATGGGTGGACGAACTCACAGCCCACCTGGTGTTAAGTGGTTACTGGAGCCCATAGACATCCACTACGTAAATGCGCTACCCACCTTGAGATACAAGTTCTAAGGTCTCAAGTATAATTACAACGGTTGCTTCACCCTTCAAACCGAAACGCATTACTGCTTCACGGCAGAAATGAGCAGGGCGGTGGTACCCAGCCGCGCGGAATCACAAGAGGTCCTACCACCAGTAATTACGCAAATTATAATTTTGCGGGTTTAATTTTTATTACACGATGTTATTCCTTCACCGTGGAAATCAATCGTGAACACTTGTTGAGTACGTATTTTATTAGAAAAATTGGTACCCGCCTGAGATTCGAACACCGGGGCATCGCTCAACACGAATGCACCGGACGTTTTATCCGTTAGGCCATGACGACTTCAGACGACACTTAGCATCAGTTGGGCTGTATTAATGATGTTTAGGTTAGGTTGCACATTACTGGTTACCGGGGTGTCTAAGCCTGCTCCTAGTGTTAGAGCTAAAGGCGTCTAATGCAAGGCTTATTATATCTGATGGATCTGTAAGGACGTGTCTAGGGCGTCGACGGTGACTGGCTCCTGCGTGATCAGGATTCGAGGATTCAGCGGCAACGATAAGGCGATTATCATGACGCATAGCCTTATCGAAGGACCGCTCTGACACTGACTTCATGTGTTTACGGATTGATTTGAGGCCTAGGTTGTCATGTTCCTCACGAACCACGGAGCCCCGACGGCTAGCCTGCAAAAGCGGGATTGTAGAGATTAAAAGGTGCCTACGCGTGTGCGAGCCGCGTGAGCGGACACAACACTCGCGTAAGTCATGACGGGCCTTATGCAAGTTTTGTAAAGGTTCACTTTGTTCCGAAGAGACATTTTACTGCGCTTACATATCATAAGGTAAAGCTTACCGAAAATAAGCGTGGTACGGTCACGGGCTGTTTTAATATGCGGGCGGAATGTCATGGAAACATCCAGGGTGACTCCCAGGTACTTGACCTTCCTGGTTAGGCCCAGGGAATAGGTTGGCCGAAGAATGTAATGTGGGAGAAATTCCATGTAGAGTTTCCCTTTTGAAATAGCAACGCTGTGGGTTCATGTCTATGCGCCATTTTCAGAACCATTGTCCGAGGGCTACGGCTGCGCTCTGGAGTTAACTCACAATAAGGGACTTGTTTCTACTCGAGTAGTAAACGGTCGTGTCGTCGGCGAATAAGGCTAACTGGGTCGGCGGCGACCGGGGAATGTCGTTAGTACATAAACTAAATAGGAGCCTAAATAGCGAGAGGACGGAGCCCTGCACAAAGTTGTTAAGCCCTACGAGAATGTGCTCCATGAAGCAGTGCACCTGCTGTACGCATGAGTGATTTGCAGGGAATCCGAATTATTCATTGATAAAAATGGCCCCGGATGAGACGAAGTCTCTAAGGCGTTTGTAGAGCAGACGCTCATACGATTTTCCTAGAGACATGAGGAGACTAATCGGGCGGTAACTCGTCCGATGATTTTGGGTTTATCGGGTTTATGTATGCCGATAACGTCCGCTTCTTTCCACACCGCGGGAAAGATACATTACGTCATAGCGGCATTGAAAATAAATGCCAACATCACGATGAGTTGGGCAGGTAGAAGTTTAATAACGCGGTTAGAAATATCGTCTGAACCAAGAGCCTTGTGAGGACGTATGTTTTTAATCAGATCTTTGACTTTCGTCGGAGGGATGGGTGGTAACGCATCCGAGGGTGGCAAGGAGGCTCTGCGTTCGACCTCACTGTCTACTAATTCTACATGAACAGGGTCCGCGGATTGAGTGCTGAGCGTGAACTGGGTTTGCAATGTATAGACCAGCAGCTCTGCTTTTTTGTCATTATCGAATGCCGCGAGTTGGCCCGAAGAGCCTACAAGAGGGGGGCATAGTTACTACCGTATCCGATTTGAGGGTACAAGCTAAGCGGAATAAGACCGTTGAAAGGGTGCGCTAATTTAACCATCTAGCGTCTCGAACTACGGCGATGCGAGGTTTTACATCAGGCTGTAGGGCACGCATTTGAATACGATTTTCCTCCTATCGTATGCGCGGATCGATGTGTTCTTTGGCTCTAAGGAGTTCCATAACACCATCGAGCAATTTGAAGCGGTGAGGGAAGTCCTCCACTTAAACTTGCTTCGATGACCTATCTAATGTCGAGTTGATATGTGACGTTACGATGTCCATGGCTTCAGCGGTATCCTGAGGGGACAGAGTAGATTCCGGGCTGAATGGGAGTGACGGTGGATAAGATTCGGCTAGGTTGATGCTCATGTGTGCCAATCCACTACAGTTCTCGTCACAGAAACGGAATCGGGAGCGCGACTGAGCTTCATAATGACGGGTCGGTGGTCTGAGTCTAAGCCTGAAAGTATTTCAATCGAAAGTAAGCGCAGAGTTACATTTTTTTAATAATGCTATGTCGAGTAGGTATATCCGGGCGGTGCGCGATATTTAGCGGGCAGTGAGTCGGGGTTAGCGGAGTGACGATATCGAAAGCGAGATCAGCGACTAATGCGTCAAGGCGTCTGCCGTTCGGAGTTGTGGTATGCGAGGTTCACCTGATGTGTTTACAATTCAGTTCGCCCGCCAGAATGACAGAGCTTCCCATGCCGAGCAGCGCCTCAATATCACTGCTTAAAACGATCTTATCGAATCAGGGGCTCTTCTGTAGTAAATGGGCGGGGGGACTAGTGTACGGCACAGGACACAACTAGACGGATCAGTCGCGGTTTTCTGATCGCCAGTGCAAACGACCGTGGCATGATCGCCCAAGCACTTTACGCATCGGGGGCGCGCGTGACAGTTACGGGAAGAGTGCCCATTTGATTGGCACTTTATGTATGTATGCTCTTAATATCCCTTCATTTTCGCAATACTAACTCGTTCAGGTCGTTCTTGTCGTTCTTATAAATGAATGAATGAGTGGACTCACGACCAACTGGTGTTGGGAGGTTCTCGAAGCCCCTCGGACCCTTCACGACGCGACCGTGGAAAGTCGCTTGTGTATACACGGGTATCTAAACATACACAGGTAGACGCTGTCGTTGGCAATGGCAGCCCGCGCTAGTCTAGCTGTCCCAGTAGCTACACCTGAAGTAGGCTGTGCGAACCTCACTTCTGCTTTCGTAATTAAAATAAACACCGGATAACACAATTGCGGCAATTATAAAGCGCTGCAAGACAGTTATTCATTTTTGAATAATAAATGTAAATTATCATACTATGGGTAAGTGATGGAAAGTCCTGCGACGAGAAAGTGCTGGACTGATATTAATTTGCAATAATTACAGAGTTCTGACCTCAGACATATGTAATAATGTCATATATTTGATAAGTCCGTACCTACAGAGATTAGTTACCTAAAGAGATTTAGGGTTCGGAAAGCGCGTGGAAAAGTTAAGATTGATAAATAAATAAGTAAACAAAAATCGCTTTGTAACTATTAGGCACCTACTNCGACGAGAAAGTGCTGGACTGATATTAATTTGCAATAATTACAGAGTTCTGACCTCAGACATATGTAATAATGTCATATATTTGATAAGTCCGTACCTACAGAGATTAGTTACCTAAAGAGATTTAGGGTTCGGAAAGCGCGTGGAAAAGTTAAGATTGATAAATAAATAAGTAAACAAAAATCGCTTTGTAACTATTAGGCACCTACTATGGTAGAAAATTCGAATTTGAATTTAGGTATTAAGAGTTAATCAGTCGCTGCTCGCCCTCCAGGATCATCGGCAGTCGCGTTGTGGCCCGGGGCACTCTCTCTGGGCTCAGACAGACCACAGTAGAGTCACAGATGTTTCCGGTACGAGAGTGCGTTGCTTGCTGTGGGAGCTCCCCCTCCCCGCTGCACGAGGGTGAATCAATGAATTTAATACGTTATGGGTGCGTACACTTTTTTTAGAAAGTGGCCACTGCGTTATTAATTTCTAAATAACGAGTAGGGACTGGTGGTATACAGTAATACAATCACGTTCACAGCACATCTATTTTATTACTTTACTTTAGAAGACATTAAAAGAAAACTTTACAATAGTTTTATCTTCATAACGTTTAAATCTACTTGCAACTATTACAAAAAAACTAACAATACACAATCATATTGGGTATGAAAATAAAAGACACACACACTGGGAGTGCTCTGAGGAATTGTTTGAGATGATACCGGCATCTTGTTTTTACCATCGCACCGCCCGCCACCGGAGTAGAGTTCATCCATACTACCTGGAGCCACTGCGGTCATCCACAGTGCGCTTCCAAAGATCTTTTTTACCACGTACCATCCGGCTATGGAATGAGCTCCCCTCCACGGTGTTTCCCGAGCGCTATGACATGTCCTTCTTCAAGCGAGGCTTGTGGAGAGTATTAAGCGGTAGGCAGCGGCTTGGCTCTGCCCCTGGCATTGCTGAAGTCCATGGGCGACGGTAACCACTCACCATGAGGTGGGCCGTATGCTCGTCTGCCTACAAGGGCAATAAAAAAAAAACTTTGTATATAGTTTTGTGAGTCTACGGTATCTTCCGTCTGTCACCGTCAAATCAGCCCCGTGCTATTACATTATTGTACAGTGATCGAACAGTAATCATTTCGTAAAACTCAGAACTGAACCAATATTCCGTTGGTTCGTTCGCGCACGCACACTTCGGGCACGCTGGTATGGCGACACGTGTGTCATGTGCAGAGTAAACTGGGAACAAGGTAAAATATTAACATATTTCGTTTGTGTGTTGCAACTAGCTCTAGCGACCGCACACTAGCCTTCACCATACAGTAGGTTCGAGTGGGCAGGATCAGGGACAACGGGGACCGGTTACAGTGTGTGTGTGAGAGTGCGTGTAGGTCAGTGAGGTTCCTCAGTGGCGTTGTTGTCAGTAGTAGTGGCAGGGGCAGGGGCAGTGGCAGTGGCAGGGGCGGTGGCAGTATCGGAGCCGGCGAGCGCCTCTGCGAGTTCGTCATCGTCGTCGCGACCGTACAGGTCGGGGTACTCCGCCATACACTGTTGCATCACGCTGAACTTCTCGTAACAATCGCTGCCCTTTGGATCCGCCTCACTGTACAGAAACAACACATGTAGTGCAACCTGTGGTCTCTTTACATGCTCAGACAAACGACAGTTCACGTTTCTTGTAAAGTTTATGTAATAGTTGCGAGAGCCGCTGGACTCAGAATGCTTCAGCAACAGGGCCTGAGTGCAAGTGATACTAGCGAGCTCGGGGTTCCAGTTGCTGGACTGAGCAACCCTCATTATTACAGTTCGTATGTTCTACAGTAAACAAAAGATGTCATCATTTGGAAAATACAGACATGCATTCTTTCAAAGGATGTGTGGTAGTTGTCTTTTGAATTGTTGGAAAAGATAGTGAGCTGAAATATATTGATCAAAGAATTGAAATACGAACCTGTAATGAAAGCAGGAGAATGCCTCACGGAACTGTATCCCACAAGGACCAGTGGCCATACCCCCAAGACATGGACATCCCCAATTGATGGAACCATCTGCCAGAATGAGGCCAGGTGTCGGTTCAGGGTCCGGGAGTGATACTCTACTTGGTGTAGACAACTCTTCGCGTGATGCTACAATCACTATATCTTTGTTGCCTGACCCAGCAGGTAGAATTGATGGAGACGACATGTTGTATCTTAAAAAAAAAATCAATACACAGGTTATTATGATACTTATTACAGCATATTGCATCCACTTTAAATACATTTGTACTGCCTGACATACAATTTGCTACTTAATTGTGCCACAAAAGGAGCATTCTAGTTTAAAGGGTGGAACAGCCATTATACCCTAAAATTGAGATTTACACCTCATCCCTAAAGATGTGTTCAAACCAGGTTGACTGTGAGTTTATTTGCCCTTCTATGAAATGACACAGGCTTTATACAAATGTTCATGATTGGCTTCCAGGGTGAAGGAATAACATCGTGTAATAAAAATCAAACCTGCAACATTATAATTTGCGTAATTACTGGTGATAGGACCGCTTGTGAGTCTGCGCCGGTAGGTACCACCACCCTGCCTATTTCTGCCGTGAAGCAGTAATGCGTTTCGGCTTGAAGGGTAGGGCAGCCGTTGTAACTATACTTGAGACCTTAGAACTTATATCTCAAGATGGGTGGCGCATTTACGTTGTAGATGTCTATGGGCTCCAGTAACCACTTAACGCCAGGTGGGCTGTGAGCTCGTCCACCCATCTAAGCAATAAAAAAAACTGCCAGAGACTTTCTATTGTTTTTCTGATGTCATTTGATTATTGCTTGTTTGATTTCTTTTCCTATTTTCCAAGTTCCATAGTTTCTTTTCTTTGAAACTTTGAAAGCTTTGAAGTTTCGCTGTGCTTCTATTATTATTCAATGTTTATCTATACCCATTATTACCTCTCTGTTTGGCAGTTTTATGCTGTCAGTTTTTTTCAATTAATAGTATTTTTAATTTAACACTACTTATATTATGTTTGTCTCTTCACGGTCATATTTTATATATATATGGTAATGTATGTAACACTTACAACTAAGACAAATCTAATGACACATAATATGTTGAATGTGGCAGAAAAAATTAGACATACAATTGCTTGAAAAAAACACTATCCTTGTTAAGCAGCCAGGTAACACGGATTCACATTTGGCACAAGTGATAATTTGAGTGTAGTTCAATGTTTATTCATTTCTTTGGGTGTTGAACAATACAAGGCACTCAATGAGCATGTAATATATAAAAATATTTTCATATCTTGAATATGAAGAATGAATTTAAGGGCATAAAGTATGCTTTTTAAATATCATCCTAAATTCTAGCAAATAAATAATTTGTTAAATCCCTACAATATGAAATCAAGATTGTGACTTATGTAAGATTATGTATTTAACTGTGACACTCACTGCCTATACAAGTGCCTGTAGTGAAGGAGACACCTTATGCACTCGTAACTGGGTAGTTACTGTAAGAGCAGCCCAGACTTTCCTGAACTCCGTGCTATTTACTCGCAATACAGCTGTCTTGTCTTGCACTGATAGCACATCCACAGGTATCGAGCCCCCCACTTCACCAAACAATGTCTTGCACGCTTCTTCTACCAAACGCCGTAGTGATAATTCACTCTGTGCACTGTTACACCTACAAGTAACTAAAATTATTTCTAGTTGACTAGTCTAAATAACTAACAGATATATTTTATTTTATAGTGTTGCTAACTTATACAATTTACCCCTCATATCAAAATTTGATATATAAAAATTCAAAAAACTACTATTGCAACAAATTAACATTTGTTCAATACAGTCTCGTGTTAAGCCACCTTGGTCAATGGCAAACCTATAAATACAGCAAATATCATTAAAATTGATGTAGTGTTGAGCAGTGCAGTAGATGTACTTTAATCGGCATTGTACTTAAAGTAATACTGGGGAGACAGAACAGAAAGATTAACATTAATTAAGACAGATTAACTCGAATTTTGGTATACTTATTAAGGACTGATGACAATTCAATATTAAAAAAAAAATTGAAAAAAATCAAATTTAACTAAAAAATGAACAATAAATAATAGTTTCAAAAAACTAACAAAATATGCTTTTATAGAAAATCCAACTAAAAAATAGAAAATAAATTTAAATAAATTTGAATTTGAAATAGTGTAAAAAAATTGTGGGGTGCATGGTATCAGTAGTTATAAATATTTTATGAACATATATGAGTAGAAGGGTTATTTTGATAATATCCTGAAAAGCAACCCACGCTTTTTTTTTTACAATAATATCATTTTTTCTTACACTATTTTAAATTAAAATTTATTCAAATTTATTTTCTATTTTTTTGTTGGATTTTCTTTAAAAGCGTATTTTGTTAGGTTTTTTAAACTATAATTTTTTTATTCAAGATTCTGATTCTTTAGTTGTGTACTAACTGATGGATAAATCGTGATTGCCACTTACTCAACTTGGAGGTAAAAGAATTGAGGCAACATTCGCTTTACACTAAATTCAGAGACGCCCTGAATTTTTTATTGAAATAAAACTGATCACAATGTTATGTATCCCTATTTCATTTCTAAAATGTTGATTTATATCTGAACGTTGAAGTGACAGTTGACATTATTTATTTTTATAGGTTATTAGCCTTTTTTTTAATAAGTTCGACAAAGAATTTACTCACATTGTCTATGATAAGGACTAAAAAGAACTGTTGTTGTGCTAACATTTTTGCTGGTGATAGGGCGTCTTGTGAATCCACACAGATAGGTACTTAGGTACCACTAGGTAGTATCTAGGTACATTACTGCCGTTACCGTTGTATTGGAGTGTTGTAGGTGAAATAAAATAGAACTGTTCAAGTCGACAATTCATGTAATTCTGTCACAATTTAGTGTGTGCAGTTACAAATATAAGGTTAGGCGAGTTGCACACTACACCGTACTAATAATACGTTTGGGCTTAAAGGATGGGGCAGCCGTTCTGTAAAACTGGGACTTAGAAATCAGATATCGAGGTTTTTTTTTTATTGCCCTTATAGGCAGACGAGCATACGGCCCACCTGATGGTAAGTGGTTACCGTCGCCCATGGACTTTAGCAATGCCAGGAGCAGAGCCAACTCGCTGTCTACCGTTAAATACTCTCTACAAGCCTTGTGTGAAGAAGGATGTGTCATAGCGCTCGGGAAACACCGTGGAGCGGACCTCATTCCAAAGCCGGATGGTACGTGGCAAAAAAGATCTCTGGAAGTGCACTGTGGATGAACGCAGTGGCTCCAGGTAGTATGGATGAACTCTACTCCGGTGGCGGGCGGTCCGATGGTAAAAACGAGATGATGGTATTATCTCAAACAATTCCTCAGATGTTAGAGGAACAGAGTTCGTGGGAGGCCATGGCCAGGTTTTCCTACCTGGTCATAGCGTTCCATGAGGCGGAGGAGCGCGAAAGGGTCCCTCTACGGCTCCTCAGCGTATAAGCGGGGAGGGAAACGCGGGCACGAGGCCCTTGCTCGGCCCCGTAGCGGCTGTCGAGTGCCGGGTGCGGAGGTGTCCGGCGGTACTCAACGGTTAGTCCGGTGGTGAGGCAGTGCAAGGTGGCTCTTGTGCACTGCCCACGATGTGTCTCCTGAGATCCGACGTCCTTCAGGATTTTTCCGGGGTTGAAATCCCGTCCTATCATCAGGATAGGGGCTGTCGGATACCGGCGAAGGCGGACTTTCGGCGCGCACTATGCTTCTTCTAGCTGGTGTGGTGTAGCTCGATGGGATTTAGTCGGTAGTCATAGCTTTTTTCAAGGCTTAGTCTCCTGAGAGGAATTGGAGGAGGAGGAGGACTTCAGCTTTCCTCTTTTAACTCTTCTTATTTGGAGACGCCGGAGTGCGACATAACCCGGTCTGTTACCCCCTTCAACCGGGAATCCGCAAACGGATTACCCAGCGATAAAAATATGGCTTAGTAACCGAAGGAAAAATTCGTATTTATAATTTTAGCTTTGTTGTTGTGATTAAAACCAAATGTGTTTGTAAAACAGAAGTAGCTGTCATTTTCGTGATTGGATCATAAACCAGTGGATTGGATAGTTAATTTCCTCCATTTCATTGCCATATTAAAATTCGAAGACCTGTTTCCACCTGAAGCCCAGGGGCTTAGATTTCTTCTACATCTTTTACAAGATACGTGAAGAACCCACTTTTTGTTTTGACCGATATTTTAAAATAACAACAATACTTTTTTTGAGTTATGTAATTCCATTAAAGGCTGTCCCGTTTTAGACTGAGTTCACTATAAATTTAACAAAAACGACCCCGGTTTTACTTTACAACCTTTTTGGCATACAGCTAGCGCCATCTATGAGTCATCGTTGTCAACACATGCAACATGTTATGAAACAATGCGGTAATGTTGAATATTGGAACCGTTAGAGGGCAATATGATTTTTGAACCCAGAATAACAGTTCTAAAAGCAATGCTATTTATCGTTTAAAAATAGTTAACTAATAGGCAGCTTTAATTACAAATTAAATGAATCTGAGAAATTGGTTCATAAAAGGCGTCTTGTTAGTCCCGTCTCTGAGGTTCTGTAGGTTGGGTATGTTACGGCAAGTGAGTGGCCTAGCTACAACCACATGTTCTGTGGGACATTTATTTTATTTATTTAAACTTTAAAATGCACTTTATGTTGCTCACTGAGTTTCTCGCCGGATCTTCACAGTGGTAGATTCTGTGAAGCACTGCTCTTGCTAGGGCCAGTCTTAGCACTCCGGGTTTGAGCCCCGTGAGCTCACCCACACGTCAAGGCGAAGCTGAAATAGCCTCTCAAGGCTATCAGCATCGGCAGAAAAAAAAGCATTTGACGCAAATGACTCATTTGCGTCAAATAAAATGAATAATACGAATAAAATGAAAAAATATGAAAAATGGGTGCCTCATGATTTGATTGGTCTGCAGAAAGAAACGCGTGTTGAAATTTGTGTTGCCTTGTTGAATCGATACAGAAATGAGGGAATATTAGATCGAATTGTGACATGTGATGAAAAGTGGATTCTTTACGATAACCGTAAGCGAAAAATGCAATGGCTGACTCCAGGTCAAACGCCGCAACAGTGTCCTAAAGCAAAGCTTACCAATTAAAAGGTAATAGTACCGTAAATCGATCTTCACTATTATTGCTCCATGATAACGCGAGACCTCATACAGCACGAGAAACCGTTTGAACTCTACAAGAACTGCAATTAGAAACCATTCGTCACCCTCCGTATTCACCAGACCTTGCTCCAATGGACTACCATTTTTTTCGTGATTTGGACAGTTTTCTACGTGAATAAAGTTTTCTTCCCGGGAGGAAGTGTTTCACACAGTTTGTAGAATGTAGATTACCAGAGTTCTATCGCAAAGGCATAAACGATATTAGATGGCAGCTATGTATAATATATAATAATGATAGATATTTTGATTATGTTATGATTATTGAAATATGTTAAATGAAAAAAAAAAACGAATTTCAATTTTTCAGTACAATTTGGCAATTTCATACTTCAACCCCTAATAATAATAGGTATATAATATGATTGCACATAGTCTAGAATGACCCTAGTAGTGCCCCTAATTCTCAGTGCGTGTGCTCGCATTACATACGTACATACAAATATACATAACGCAGGATTAAAACAGATTACTTACTGGTTTGCACACATCGGCAGCCACTCAAATTAAAAAGTTTACAACGCACACACTCGGCGTGGCGGCGGGGCGGCGGGGCGCGCTGTTCAATGGGTCGGAAACACAAAATTGCTTGTTAAAATATTCGTCGGATGAATACTCCCCCGTCCGGCGTCGAACCCTGCGCCGAGCTTTGAGCAGAGGGATGCACACAATGCAACGCTGCTATTTATATAATTTGATATCCAGCCATCATGAAGTGCAGAGGCTGCATCGAGGGAGCACGACCTTCAACAAGACCTGAATAGTCCGGGCGCACGAGTCTGCTCTCTGCGGGAACAGACAGACACCACCAGCTCTCCTACTCCTGTACATTTGTTTTGTTAACTATTGCTATTGATAAGTAACAACACAAAAGAGAAATGTAACGCATTAAATAAATGTAAACTGGAATGTGTAGCAGTGGCACATTAAGTATGTGGTGTCGGCAGATGTTGTATTATTGTGTAAGTTTGTTTGTAATGTTTGTAAATGACATGTTCGTGAGCATCTAGCGGACATTTTGCTTTTGCTGTACGCAGTTCATTAATATTTGCTCCAAGCGAGGCGAGCTCATGTCGTTTTTAATAGTTTAAGGTTTTTTTTTATTTTTTTTAATACTTATATGGGAGAACGAGCTCACAGCCTACCTGGTGTTAAGTTGTTACCGCAGCCCATAGACATCTACAACGTAAATGCCGCCACCCACCATGAGATATGAGTTCTAAGGTATAGTTGCTACGGCTGTCCCACCCTTCAAACCGAAACACATTACTGCTTCACGGCAGAAATAAGCAGGGTGGACCACCAAGAATTACGCAAATTATAATTTTGCGGGTTTGATTTTTATTACACGATGTTATTCCTTCACCGTGGAAGCCAATCGTGAACATTTGTTGAGTACGTATTTCATTAGAAAAATTGGTACCCGCCTGAGATTCGAACACCGGTGGATCGCTCAACACGAATGCACCGGACGTCTTATCCGTTAGACCACGACGACTTCACCATTCCAACCTGCTGGACTGAACAGGGACGTCGCGTCGCCTTCAAACAAACACAATATGTACATTTTGTAGTTCCGAATACATCTTATTTTTTAAATATACGTTACGACCAGTAATGAGATCCGCCAAGGATCCAGCCTGAGCATTTGCTCGCCCACCGGTCCTGGTGAAACTGGAAAGGTCTCTGGGCCACCAGTAATCAACATGAAAAAAAAAGTCGTGTGGCACTCGGAGACTGCCGCGGTTAAGCTATTGCATAGCATTTTTTATCAACTTATGCAATTATAAATCGACAATAATAATTTAATATTAAAACAACAATAAAATAAGATCCGGCGAGAAACTCAGTGGGCTAACTTTCAATGAATCTGCTACATTGTGAGTATTCCATTTTGACCGCGCACTCACTAGAGGGCGCTACATGGGATAGAAACACGCCTTTGGATGCTAGTTCTAACTTTTTATTTTTTTATATGATTGAAAGTTTACTGGTGGCCCGAAGGCCTTTCCAGTTTCACCAGGACAGGTGGGCGAGCAAAGGCTCAGCCAAGAGGGGTGGCATTTGCTAACAACTGCCCGAGCGCCTCCGAAGGAGACCTAACAACTCAAGAGCAATTGTTTCGCGAATGAATCTACTACCGGATCGGAATCGCGACCCGCTGAGAAGATCCNGCCTCGTACTGATCGCGCGTTTCTCTCATTATTGTATTTTCATATATTTGTTAGTCGTTTGTTTTGTGTCTCGTTAATTTGTTAATAATCTGTAGTGTATCGTGTTGTCGTAATATAGAACTATTTCTCGTATTGTTTCGTTTAATTTTTTATATCCAGTAAACTCCAGTCGTGCGTCGGAGCGGACACACACACTTTTTTTATTACACGATGTTATTCCTTCCGTAGAAGTCAATC